ATATATATATATATATATATATATATATATATATATATACACACACACACACACACACATATACACACACACATATACACACACAATATATGTTCTGAGGATACATCTCAAGTGACTGAACTGGCCACTTCACCGTAACTGCAGTTGGTTCAACACCAGCCAGACTCCAAACTGCCTGCTCATCATAGAAACGACAGAGAGATTTCAACAGGAATCAAATGGCAGGTCGTTAAACTGTCTCCCTGCTGAAGAGGGGAAAGAAAAAAAACTCCCAACGACCCCATTGAGGCTACATTGCCCTCTGCTGGCGACCCCCGCGTCCTGCAGACTGGCTGTCTCTATCCTCCTGCAGTCAAACATCTGGCATTCAAAACAAGCCACTGACCCAGACCGCAGCCCAGGAATAAGCAGAGCCACTCCAGTCTATGGCTGCTGAGGAATCCGGCAGTCAGCAACATTTCGGAGTAAAGCCTCGTGCACTGAACATCGCATCCGTACGCTCAGTGGCTGGGCAGAGGCGCTAAGCGAGCTGCATAACATGGGAATGAGGTCGGGAGGTCCTGTTGAGGTCGAGCTTAAGGACACTGGAACAGGTGATATATTTCTGGTTGAATGACGGCACGAACCAAAAATACAGGCTGCAAGTCTGACATTTTTCACTCAGCAGGGAAACATGTTCCAGACAGCTTCATTACTGAACTCTCAGCTGATCTCTTGCTGGCACATCGAGCGGCTCGTAAGCAAGTTCCGCCTTTCCCTGTCCCCCCCAAAATTGTTTGCGTGCTTTTGGAGATATGATGCAGTTCCTGGCTATTCCTGCCAAATATTTATAAAAAGAGTTCATTCTTCAAAGTAATGCTTCATGTTACTGTTCAGGCAAACAGAAAAACGTTGCAATTGTTCTGCAACAATGACCTGAGCACACTGTAGAGAGGAATGTATGGATGTTCATTTTCTTGCATATATGTCATTTGATTCTACAGATGAAAAGTGCAAGTTGGACTTTGCCTTAAATCTACAGAGGCATGTTCAGACTCTTACTATGAACTTACTATGTAACAAGCTCAACACGTTTACTCACTGCATGCACGTTAATATTATCTACCACAGAATTGAACCATTTTCAATGGATCTATGGTTCATTTACTATCACTGTATCATCTTATTTGTATTATTTGTTTGGACATATAGAAAACAATATGGTATATATATATATATATACACACACATATATATATACACACACATATATACATATATACAGTATATACACACACACACACACACACACACTTTACCCCTGGTCACGTATTAACTTTGGCACGAGGATGTTGTGAACAAACAGGCAACCGAGCTGAGTTCCAAAGGTTACTTAGGGTGTTTCAAAGAGTTCGGCAAACAATGACTCATCTTAATCAAACCTACGTCCAAGCAGAAAGTGGCAAAGCAAAGATATCAGACAACAACAGTAGAGACTTACCGTGGAGACGTCTGTTTCCTCTGGGGGGTCATTTTCTTCCTCCGCTGCACCAATTACTGTTTCTGCAGACATGATGACTTCCACCTCTGGAGAAATGCACACGACACAATGCAATCAGTCCAACGGCAAAGCCTCCAAACACAGGAATCAATAGCAAGTGTTCAGAGTGAAAGGAAGTGAGACATCCTCACTGCAGATACACTGAGGAGTTGTCTATAGGTTTTATGCACGATTTAAACTTGTATTATTATGTATTTAGCACTTATTATTGTTGTTATTTTATTTATTTAATGTATCTATTTAAGGTATTGTATTTAGGTGTGTGGAAGGGAATATGTGTTTGTAAAAGGAGAAACTATAAATAAAGTTATTTTTGTTATTTCCAGAGAGTAACTTTTGCCAAAGGGGACGATAACCATTCCCATGTAAATTAATTCATCATTCTTTGATTATAAAAACAAAAACAGACTAGCCCATTGATGGTACTGTATAAATACCTGTGACGGATTAACGGAATCTATTTGGAAGGCTTGTGGAAGCCAACATGACTTGATGAATGTGAGAGGAAGCGGAGGAAAAGCCTCAGCAAACAACTCTCCTTTCTTGTGTTTTTAAGCATCCACTGGAATCCGGATTGAACATTCACGTCTTTATTCCCAAATAATGACACAGCAGAAAGCTCGCCTGGAATGGCCTATGCTGTGACCTGATGCTAGACCGCTGTCAGGCTGTAAACATATTCCCCCGTTCATAATGACACCCCCCGGTGTCTGCGTGACGCACGGCAACAACCTTGCCCTTGACCTCCCTTTATTCGACTTTGTTGGACTCCGGCACAATTATCCCTGATGAGGGAAAATTGCCGACGGAGGGGTGCTGGAAGTTCACTTAGAGAAGGGAGAGAAACTCTCGCCGGCCTCACTTCCTGCTCCACACACTCACATCAGCCGGCTCGTGTATGTTTGTTTTAAAGAGAAGCCGGCCTGCTGGCTGTGCGTCGGAGACTCGGTAATGTGACTGTGTTTACTGACATACTGTGTGTGCTGTAGCCAGAGTGTGCCTGAGACGAAAACAAACAGGGAGCGTGTGAAAATAAAGTGAAATGTCGTGGCATGAGGTATCAAAGATATAAACCGGCTTCCTGTCACGTAACATGTCATCATTTATCCCAACATTATTGTGCTGAAGTCGCATTTTTAGTGTTTTTTTTTTAAATAACCTCTTTTCTTTAATTATAAAGTGAAATCCTAAAGTATTACTCAGCTAAATCCTCATTAGAAAGACAATCAGCGGCAAAACTGCAGAAAGCCTCAGCAAAGCATGCGTTCACAACAGCAATATATCACAACAGGATGTCAAACAAAAAGCTCTATTATGGTGAGCTACATTTAGCGTCGCAGAGCAATCGCCATTAATCACCAGAGGAGGACTGGATTTGATTTAGCGTATTTGTTTAGGAATAGGACCTTGACAAACATATTAGCCGCGTGATGAATGCGTGTGGGTGCAACTAGAATGAAATAAATCAGTGGTCGCTCACCTTGAACGGCACCGTTGCGGCCTCGCGATGCTCCGTCCACAGCATCGGGAGTCTTTGGGTTTTCAGTCACCTCGTTCTCAGGGCGAGGAGAAGCTGGCTCTCCTTCCAAGGCGGTGGCACCTTGCGATGATGACGCAATGATCCGATCCTCATCGGGTGACCTCACATCCGATGTCATCTCAGAATTATCCTGCTCGGGTTGCGTTTCTCCACTCTTTTCAGCTGAGGCCACTGCAGATTCGCCACAGGTCTCTGTTGACTGATGGCCTCCTTCACTTCCTCCTGCGACAGACTGATCGGGTTCAGATAAAACCCTACTGGTGACCTCTGACTCCGAACGCTCAGTCCCTGTGTTCAGCTTAGAGTCGCCGGCATCCCCGCTCTCTGACAACGCCGGACCTAGCGACAGATCCCCTTTGGGAAGTTCTGGGGAGAGTTTCTCTCCCGTCCCTTCAAGATTCAAAGCCTCCATTGTGTTGAGGCCCGGAGACAGTTGTGACTCAGGCTCAGTGCCGGCCTGGCTGCGGTCTGTCACTGTCGGTGCACTGGCAGTGGGGAGCCCTGCGTCCACGCTCATTCGTGTGCATTCGCCGCTTTCCCTCTGGTTTGAATCATTTGGTTCCTCCATGGTGAATCCTGTCGACGACAGATCTGCCGTCGTGGTTTGAAGCACGTCCTGATCCTCCATACTAGCGTTGTCCAGAGTGGGGTGGAATATATCTGTCGTGGAGCTTCCGACTGACTGGAAACTGACATCGTCGTCGCTGGAGAGGCCGCGGGTCATCCCTGAATCATGATCGGCGGGGCTATCGCCGGAGCCGGGCGTCATTCCAGGTGACGGCTCCTCCTTGGAGTTACCAGCAGTCCGGCTATCGGCTGTAGTGTCAGGTTCCTCCATGGGCAAACAGGTGCTTTCGATACCGTATCCGGGTCCAGGTTCGGCTGCGTCTTCACCCGCTAGCTCTTCATCGCTCGCTGTTCCAGTGCAGTTCCCAGTTTCTGGAGCCGAGCCCCCCGGCTGCTCTGTGGCGTAATCCCTGCCAGCTGTTTCCTGGTTTTGTTCCAGGCTGTTTATGTCTGGCGTGGGTTCCCCCTCGTGGAGGCCTTCTATCAGAAGGCGTGGAACAGCGGATTCAGGCTCCCTAATTACATCGCCGCAGTCTATCGGAGGAGGGTTGGGGAGGCCCTCTGGGTTTGACACAAGGTCTGTTAACCCCTCACGCTCTGGCTGCTCCTCCTGGAAAGAGAGTCCGACACAGGGCTCCTGGCTAAGTCTCCCACTAGTCCCGCCTTCCTGAGAGCACTCCTTCATTTCAGAATCGGAGGCGTCGGATACCCCTGAGCCCTCTGATGATGGCGACTGGCCCATGACCGACGTCTTTGTGTCTCCGCAGTGCTTTACTAGATCTGTTGACTCCGAGTTGGTCGCCTCCTCTCTCCTTGTAGCTGTGCTGTCCTCTGCTTCCTGCTCTGATTTGTCCTCTCCCTTCGTGGCCTCTTGTCCTTCCCAGATCACGGCCTCTCCTCTATCAGTTTCCTCTGCCCACTTATCACCGCTCGCCGGCGGTGGGATTCCCACGGTGAGGCTCGCCCCTTCTTCCCCGCTCTGCGCTCCTTCACTCCTGTCACACGAACTCAAACTCTGTGTGGAAACCACGAGCTGCTCCCTTCCCTGCTGCTGCTCCGTCTGGTAGCAATCTCTCCCAGTGTTTGAGCCGAGACACACCCAGTCCGCTGGGGGGCTGAGGCCATGCTCCCGGGGCCGCACTTCTGACGCTGGAGCGCTCACGGACAAACTCCAGTCCCTCTCAGTCTTGCCAGTCCCACCATGTCCACAATCAACACCGCTGCGGCTTTCCACAGAGCAGTTCTCCACCCAGCTCCCTCCTCTTGTTGTGTCCAGGCACTCTGACGCCGTGGCGGGCAGCTGTAGTTGCTCCAGACAGGTTATCTCGGTTTCTGCGCCATCACAACATTCGGCAGCTGTGTGCAGGGACTCAAACTTCAGCTCCAGTGCAGAGACTCCCTGCGGAATACAGAAAAAGGAAGAGGAGGATAAACGTTAGCTTTTCCCCTCAGAGAAACCAACAGAGCTGCTCTATAGTTTCTTATCAATCGCCAACTCTGTGATTGCACAAGGTGTTCCACCGGTTATACAAACCAAGCTTGAAGGTTAGAAAAAAATGAGGGCAGTGAAAAGACAAACAATCCGACAGTGTTCAGCAGCTCAGTGCGGAGTGACTCACCTTGGCATGGAGACGGCGTATCAAGTGCAGCAGCTGCTCCACGCTCCTCCGGAGGGTCGGGGGGTCGTGGCCGGGGCGGTTGCTCAGCGTCAGAGTGTGCGTGTTCAGCCCGGGGAGGTGGCAGACGACCCGGGCGTCCGTGGACACCAGCTGGACAGTCTCGGCCCCTTTGTCCGTCTCGGCCCTGCCACGAAATAAACACTTAGATCATCCCGAGTGATGTCAACCTCCCTGTTCTCTTTGGATAATCCACGGGCAGTCAAACGCCGTGGTTGTTGTGTTAAGTCTACTCTAGCAGGTGATCAATCAAACTATAGAAACTGGTACAAGTTAAAAAGGTTCCAGACTCTGAGGCCAGTCAACCAAAACTGTTACTCTCCTTCCCCTGTAGTAAAATACGCCCTGCAACACCCGACGTGTAGACCACTCCTACTCCACAAACCCCACTCCCCCTGCTGCATTTGCATTGTTTCATAAAGACCGTGTTGTAAAGGGGAGACACTTCCCAGTCAGGCAGATCCGTTTGCGTAATCCTGGGTGGATTGCTTTAGCTGCGAGGCCCCGGCGGCTGAGCTCACCAGCCGGGCTGCCGGTGACTTCACTTCTCATGAGGGGAAATGTAATCACCGACACATAAAGAGGGAACTGCGCGCTGTAAAGTAACTCCAATGCACGCCCGGGCACAATGAGCAGAGCTCGCTAAGTGGTAGACGTCTTTCAGCTTGTGGCGTCTTCGTTCTGAGTTAAGTGAAAACTATTTTGCAGCAGATAAGTAGAGTGCTTTAAAGACTTATTTTAAAAAAGGGATCTATTTCCACTTCAAGCCGTGTCTCAGTCCATTTACCATGAAGCTGTTTTTTTTTTTCCCCAGCAGTTTAATGTTTCACTAGAAAGCGATGAGAGGAATCTGACCTCACAAGTCGCACAAAAAAAGGCATGATTGGGGATAACACCTGGCAACTGTAAACAAAACACATCCTCTCACACTGCAGTGTGTGTGTGTGGATTAAAGCAAAGCTACAAAGAGTGTGATGCTGTGGAGAGGTGCTACCATCAATGCTTTTGCGTTGCAGAATAGTTTCTAGGGCTGCTGCCTTGTTTTGCTCTTAGTCGAGTAAGATTTCTTTCTGTAAGTGTTGCTTTTGTGTGATTCTTTCAGTTTTACAGATCTCTTGATTAATAAACAACTCATCGATTAGTCGATAGAATTTCGAGCCAAATACTTTCCAATCCCTCTCTATTCTCCTGGAACGATACTGGCAGCCCACAACTTTTCAGTTTTGCCCTCAACTATGTGGCTGCAGTTGAGAGTGCTAAACTGGGCTGCAGTGGGCGTGGTGGTGATGCTCTTTGGACACTTTTTTTTCTCTGTGATGCAACAGACAAACATGGTTCCTCTAAAGGTCCTGGAGGAACATCGCCATCTTCCCTGTGATATATTAACATGAGACTGTTTGTACAGGGAGACTAAGATCTAGTATCACAGTGTTATCCTCCACTTTTACTACCTTTGAATGCTGACACTGGAAAGCACTATTTACCTTTCGCCTTCGACTGCCATAAAACAAAGAGTGCTTACTGCGCGAGGAGCTCGTGCAGGCGTTCGTGTCCTCGCAGGGCTGCGACGGCGGAGGGCGTGTGGCCTTGTCTGTTGGCCAATCGCAGTGCTTCCCCTGCTCCGGCCTGCTGCAGCAAGAAGCGCGTCACCCGAAGGAGACCTCGACGTGCTGAGAAGTGCAGCAGAGTCTCCTGAGGATTCAGGTCTGAGGGAAGAGACGGAGGATGAGAAATGAATAAATAGAAAAGTTCGGAGGTAATCAAACAAGCAAACAAAAGACAAGGAAACAGAAGAGGGCAGCAGTCCAGGCAGCAAATTTGTGGCGCAGTCGCTGACATACCAGCACTCGCTGCAGCTTGGCAACACCTCGTGGCAGTTTAATTAAACCAGTACAGGGTCCACGGTGACCCAGCAAACAACAGACTTTTACACATTGACATACTGATAAAACCAGAGCCTGTCCCTTTCCGTCTCAAACAGTAGATCAACGCGCAAATTTGGAAGCCGACACTGCAATTTCTGGATTATAGCCAACAGGCCAATTGACCTTTGATCTTTTGTGCTTCCGTAATAAGGCACTTGTACCGCAGTCAGTGTGGGAAAAGCCTCCGAAGCGGCATCTAATATGTGATAATAAAATGATCACAGCAGCCAAAACAATAATTATGCATGTGACTAAATCAAAGCAGTTCGCGCCGGCAGAGGTGAGCAACACTAAGTGCATCACGCTCCCATTTTTAATCCAAGTCCATTAATGGGCCCATGTATCAATTTAACTCTTAATAATGCCAACAAACACTGAGACCCTTTCCCTTTACATCACATCAAATAATGGATAGTTATGTAGACACACACACACACACACACAGACCTCCATCTTTCTGCCAAAGCAACAGGAACTCAGACAGGCTCCCTTTAGCGTTACAGCCAGAATGAGTGGCTGTTGGTTGTACCAGAGAACCATCTCAAATTTAATCTGTGTAATTAAATCTCTCTCTGCATTTACTGGGAGAGATTATTAAACGTTTCTTGGTCTTCAGGAGTTTCCCAATCTTTTACTGCCCGACCCACTCGCAAATTTACTGTCAATTTAAAAAGGCATCCTGAGATAAAGAGGGTAAGCTTGTTTAAAAGAGTGGGGAAAGTGAGTCCTGGAGTTCAATAAAAGGTAGGACTTCACAATGTGGAACACGCTGATCATTGGTGAGAAACAAAAACCTTCACGCGTTAAAACTGGTAAGTTAGGAGACTGGAAGACTCAAAATGGTGTGAAAAATCTCCATCTCAGTGCCCAGATGTCTTGTATTGCAGAGTCAGTACACCGCAAACAGAACGCAGCTGGTCTGTAGTTATTTATAACAGCAGAACGAGCAGGAATGAGAAAGATAAAACATCCACAGTGCGTACCGTGGCCAAGTCCAGATTTCTTCTCTGTTATGAGAAAGACTGCGTTCTACTCTTTATCTTTCATTTGTCACTGCATTGCACTGAGGGTTTCCTTCCTCCAAAGTCTATACACAAAAAAACTGATATTTATTCAAGCCAACAGGGGCAATTTGTGTTGTTCTTCCGTTGGACACAGACAAGCAGTTTTATATTTCAAGTCCTAGTGTGATTTCTTCTAGAACTTTTTTAACTGTGCCTTGTGCAGATTTTAACAGTATGATAAAATAAGATGGAAAAAAGTTAGAAATTGTTTTGTTTTTTTAAACAGCTGGGAACTCGGTTCTGTTATTAGCACCATTAGGTAACATTTAGAATGCTGGTTGTGTCTACTGATGAGAGGTTTCTCTCCATTTAACGCAGGCCTGTCTGAACCAGCCTTTTCCCTGATGAATCTCAAGCTTAGAACTTAATAAACTCGGTTATATTTTAAAGAGCAGCTGTCTGTGATTACTTTCTGCATGTATTGTGATAATAGCTGGATATGTGGTCTGTTGCTCGAACCTAAACCTTCACTTTCACTCTGAATGTGTGATAGTACTCCGACTATTGACATTGTGAGTGAACAGTAATTATTTGACATATCGTTTGGTTATTGGTCTCTGTTCGCAGGTTGGTGCCCTGTTATTATTAATAATCATTAATAATCATTAATAATTTTACTGACATTAATAATTCTATTGATTCAACTAAGTCGTTTACTGGGATGGTATTGATTGACAAACCGCAAGCTACAGATGGTTTGACACTGAACGTTGCCAGTAAAATTAGCTGGGCGTTATCCACCGTTTTCATGGAACAGTTCTTTCCTGGTAAAGTGATTTCCCCCCCCCCAAGAGGACAATCAACGGCTGGCTACGGAGAGATCAGTGACTGCCACGGCGTGAAGAGCGACGGAGATAAACCACCGTCACCTCCACCTGTAGTCCGCTGCTATCCATCACCTGACAGGTCGGATAAATGGAGAGCTAGACTCCTCTCACCACTACCCGCAGTTCACCGCGGCCGAGCGTCTCGTATTGAAGCGGTGACACATTGCGAAGCGGTGCCCATTAGAGCGCACATCACTCACCGCAGCAGGCAGCCGCCTTCCACATCAACAACATGACAACTGACTTCAATGCAAAGAGCACCAGCGTGTGTGCATGTGTGCGTGTGTGTGTGTGTGTCCATCTCTCACAACAGCAACAAGCAGATCTTCCCGAATCGGCGGGGAGGTTATTACTGAAGATTCGATTTGATGATTTTTCTTTTTCAGGCCCCAAACAAACAATGAATAAAACATTTTTTTTAAGAGTGTGCAGGCTTTTAATCTCCACTACACACTTACTGAGTCGCCATCTTTTCTTTGTCAGAAATCCTGCTGGTTTCAATCCAAGTCCAAGTTTAAAACCACGAGCTATTATCTTAACGAAAGTCTTGTTGATGTTGCTTCACAGAGAGCCATTACCTCGCTGAGTTTATCATCCGCATCAGCCCGTCTGGCTTCCGTTAACTGACTGAAGTCGTCGGAGTCAATGACTGTTAGAAAATTGCCACTTTAATTTGAATAAAAATGCACGTTTGTTTGCACCGGCATAGCCGTTTCACAGATGCCGGCGCCGTTTGATCACACTAATACCGGAGTCAGTTGACAGTCCATCAAGAGACGTGCTTTCATGTTCATGTCTGTCTGTTAATATAAGCTGCCAGCTAACACCACATTGACACAGCAGCCGTCTATTTGGGATTGGAAGAGAGATGTGTTTGCCCTCCGTTAGAGTATATTTATCACTCATTTATCAGGTAAAAAAAGACCCAAGATATGCTGGTTACAGCTTCACAGACGCTATGTGAGAGGTTTGCTTTCTGGCTACTGCTCCAACTAAAGCTAGGTTTTGATTCATAAATCTGTCTCGGACATAAAGATCACAATATATTTGCCAATTATAATTGCACTTTTACAACCGGAGTTATAGTACATCCAGGTAACTTCTATTTCACAGTACTGACAAGGTGACTACTGCAGTGCAATCGCCTCAATCAGTTAATGATTGGTCATTCAAATACTGTGGAGACAAAAAAAAAAAAAAGTACCAAAGCCGTCATTACTGCGGGGACGCCTCACTTGTAAACCTGCTTATAACATTATAATGTGTGTAAAACGGTTATTCTTAAATCGCCTTTGCCAAGACATGTTATAGGACTGGTTACATGTTGAACATATGGTCATCAAATGTCAATTCAATAAAAAGGTGAGAATCAAGAAAATGTAAAAAATTTCGTAGAATTATAGTCCAGTCTAAGCAGACGGCTAGACGTTGTTTTCTGGGCTGGGCTGTTATCAGCTGCTCCAACAACAAACTGAGACTTTAAGCCCCAAAATCAATATATCTTTCATAAATTTTCAACAAATCCTCATGTTTCCACTGCATTTTAAGCAGCTTGCGAACAGAGCACCAACCAGGAACCGCCAAAAAAACAATCTGTGCGCACGGGCCCAATGGTGAGCCCCTCCCACTGCATCTCTTGCTAACTTGGTACTACGTTAGCTAACGTTTGCTATCAAATGATGCATTTCTGCAGATTACAACACAGGAAATCGTGGAGTTTAAGGATTTAAATCCTAAACTAGCAGGTCAATCTGCCGTGTTTCATTGGTACCTGGTCAGCACTGAGAACACACACACACACACACAAACAGAGGTGCTATGTGTGTCATTATGTGCTGTACGGCTATAATTTCCCAGCATGTTTGTGCATCAGTGCAGAGACATGCTGTCTGACGTTTTATTTGTGAGGAAATGACATGTTCCACACCCTTTCGGCCTCACCAGTGCTGTTGGTTCGCTTGTTCCCCAGTAAGCTCCATCCGGGAGGCAGCGCGAGGTGGTGGAGGGCCAGCGCCAGCGTCTCGTCCAGACGCTCGCACTCCTGCACGGGAATCTGACACTCGTCGAGCAGCAGCGCCCCGTCCAGGCCGTCGGCCCGGCCCGCCGTGCTCACCTGCGTGGAGGGCGATTACAGAGATGAGTCAAGATTTTTTACAGAGGAGGAGGCTTAGTCCACTGGCAGCACTCGCTTTAAGACGCTCAGCCTAAGAGCATTAATCCACATGCCTAAAAATGTACGATGTAATGCATGTAAATGCAGGAAGACACGTACACGTGCATTTATCAGTGCTGCGCTCAATTTGGGGCTGAGCTGTGCAGATAAAAACAAATCAGATTCAGATTAAACAAAAAGGACATTTTGAGTGTGCGAGACAGTTACATTATCTCATCCTCCTCCTTGGCAAAGCAAATTGTGTATTATTCTTCTATGGGATGATAAATTGCGCTGAAAAGAATTCATTAATTGAATGGCAAGGACTGTGGGACATCAAGCACTGTCAGGGAAGAAACAATAACATGGCAGTCTTTTGTCTTACTGTCACTTTGCCCACATTGCTGTATCACTCGTCGCCAATGGAGACTACTTTCCTCTCGCTCCGTGACAAGCCTCAGTCTGCGTGCTTATGTTACTGCTCACTTGGAAATGCTCACCAGGAACTGGGCCATGTCAAAAGCCAAATCCTGGACAAAGCTGAATCGATGCTCGGCCAATGGAGCCACGCGACCCAGACAGGGCTTTAGGTGCTCGGGGGACTCGGGGACACCTCGGCTGGCTGAACACAAGGTGACCGACACCACCTCGCAACAGTCATGAGCTACAAGACAACACAAGGAGGGAAGCAGAACGGCAGGATGAGAAGACAGGAGACAGAGGAGGAGGAGGTGACAGAGGACAGAGAATAAGTGGAATAATCACTAGCTTATAAAACATTCTTTAAAATAAATTGGTTATATTCTATACTATCAGTCTCATGTGTATATGGCTAAATACCCTGTGTGTTTAAAATGTGCCTTTTACAAAGTTGAGTATGTTTTAGACGGAGGCAATTTGCTTTGTCCGTGTGTCGTATGAGCATTAGCCGATGTTATGCTGCGTTCCATTTGAACTGGGAGGTAGGGATTTAGAAGTTCCCGGTCGGGAGTCTCAACTGGAGTGCCGCCTGAAGTCGGATTTCCAACTTGCAAAGTCGGACAAACCCCATTAACACCAACCACAGTATTGTCCAATCTTAAGACGTAATGCGTTATCAACTGTTGCCAACAATGGCTAAAAAAGGCCACATTGGCTGGAGCAAAACCCCATTAAGTTTTGGCTTGAACGCAGCTTTAGCTAGTTGCGGCAAGCTAGGTGACTTTAGCGGCAAAGCAACAACACAGTAAGTCATAACAAGTATAACAACAATATTAAATGTGTGCAACATCAAATTCAGTGTAATTGTACAGTTAAGTAGCCATATGTTGTAAATGCTACTTGTATCAAACGGTGGTTGATGTCCTCCCCTACAGGAAAACTTTCCCACTCTGCATTAACCACCTCCGCGAGTAAAACTAGATTGTCTGTAGAAATTGATATGCAAAGTAATTTGCTGCCAACGATCATGGATGAAAAGTGAGTCGAAGATGTTCCGTTCGGTTCAAAGACCAAACTTGTTTGCATGAATCTATTTCAGCCAGGTTTATCAGGCAGAGGCAGTACTAATGTTTTAGTCATTTGACATCGCAAAATTGTATAATAAGAATCGCTTATTAACAACAATCAGCGACAATACAGTGCAGCTTTGCACCGCTGCCTTCAATCATCTATTCATACTCTAATTAATACCAATAAATCTGAATATTATTTACCTAATGAAATGTGTTTCAATTTACCACACTAATATGTATTCAGCAGTCACAAATCAAACTCCAACGACCAACACAACATGTTATCAGTTAAATGAAAATTAATGCAAATGAGTTTTCAGTTGTCATCACAAACAGAATGAACAAAGAGGACTGTAGTCCACATACGGGTGTCAAAACACAACTAACGGGGAATAAAGGCTCTGATTGATGCCTTACATGCAGCGCTGACATCCCTGCCTCTAATTTACGCAGAGCACGGCCTTCTGCATCAATGTACTTCCTCCACAAATGCCAAGTCATATGCAGTGGATGCAGGACTTCTTGTCATTCTTCTCTCTAAAGACAAATTAACATGAGATAACCCCTTGATCCATCCTCAGTATCTAGACCTACCATTTAAGACCCATATATCCAACACAGCACCGTCTTTCGTTATCTCCGCCAGGAGATCATGTGCTCTGCCGTATGTGTGTGCGTTTTTGTGTGTGCGCATCTCTGTCTGTCTGTCCACAGCTCATTTCGCATACTGCTGGACCAATCAGCTTATTATTTTTTGTGCTCATTTATTACTGTATGCTCAATGATCTCTCGTGGTTGCAGTGATTCACAATTTGAGAGGACATATTTTATTGGCAACATATTTTACTGACTATTTTATACCGTATTTGACTGCCAACTCGTCACTAGTCTACTCTAAAAATGTAATGTTTTAGAAACTAACATCTCCTTCCAACCTCTCCGGGTAATGACTATCACTATTACACAACATTTCACCATTAGTAGCTCCAAACCCACAAAATCAGCCTGAAAATGAAGACGATTGCATGAGAGTCTGTGGAGCAGAGCCGGAGCCTGGCGGAGAGCTGCACTCTACTGAGCACATTTTTCTAGTTTACTGTGTGTCAACGTTATTCGTCGCTACAAACATTGTTGCTCACTTGGCAGCGCCACTTGAACATTAAGGTTCAAATGCCTTGCTCAGGGACACCTCGATCCAAGCCAAAGCAGCGATTCAGTGTATCTGCAGCTATTTTCCCAGGCCACTTGGGAATTCGATCCCACGACCTAATGCTTGGTCACAGGACGGGTCCTTCGGAGCTCTGTGTGTACTGATGGAGGGAGCAGTGATGCAGCGCTAATCTCTCAGTAGAGAGTAACACCTCCTCCTGCCCCTTCAGATGGCTCCAATTCAGCCGAGCACTATACATGGATAATGCAGTTTATCGTGTTCTGCCTTCTTTCTTCCTGTCTTGAACGCAGACACTTGAGGAAAACAACAAGTTCCACCATATGTTTCATATTTGTCCCTTGGGCTCAACATTCAAGTCCATTACCCATTTTCTGTGTACGGTGACCTTTGACCCTTGATTTACGTAACCCCCTGTCGTTGCTCATCTGCCTCACAGGAAGTTATCCCTGACTACAGCTTCGCTAAATACGTTTCATTCTTCAAGTGGAGTAAATGGAATGTGCTCCAGGAGGAGTGATGAATGAGGCAGGCTCTAGGAAAAGTCAAATGAGGTGATTTCTCCCTCTCCAACACGCAGCATTAGTTTAAAAACGAGGACGGTTGGGGTGGATGATTAATCATTTATTACTTCGACTATATCTTCCACAGCTATAATAACTCCTGACTGCCCTATGCTTTCTGTGTGTGAGATGTGAGGGGAGAATAATACCATCCCCTTTTTAGATATAGTTTTGTTACCAAACATTTTGGCATGCTTTAGCACCCCTTTATGTTCTTTTGGGCTGCAGCACATGATGGCTGCAGAGACTAGACAGAGATCTGACTGTTTATACTTATGGTGATTATGATAATATTTGTATTTTATTTCAATTATTTTTTAGGACTTTGACTGTATGTTAGTGGCCTGACACAAATAAGTCGGCCATGACGCGACTTTCACAGAACCTTCCCTTCAATTTGTTGTTATTTACCAACATAATCTAAAGGGTATCTGCAACAAGGTCCTATGCTATCAGTTTACTCAGACAATAGATTTAACATGTATCAAATACTGTATGTGGAGCTGCCTCTCCGCACGGGTCCATCAGAGGGAACAAGGACGCCGCAAGGCATTGTGGGGCGGGGCGGCTTACCGGGACACAGCGCCTGCAAGGTGTCATGACTGCTCCTTAGGGTGCTGGTCAGGTGCCTCTGTGTGCTGCCAGCAAACAGCAGGAAGTAGTCGACTCCCTCCTCCTCCTCCTCCTCCGCAGCAGCAGCAGCCAGCTCTTCATCAGCGAGCTGCACCGTGAGTACACACCGCCCCTGCAGAGAGGGAGAGGGAGGGAGAGACGGGGGGAGGATAGAAGAGAAAAGAGGAACAAGTCTAAGTAAGTCTGCAGGAATTTTATCATTAAAAAAATAGAGGACAATTTCTATCTTTTCATCTATTGATTTGCTATTATGCAGTACTTTTTTGACTTTTTCTTCTGACTATAAGTTGAACCTCTATGTAAAAGAAGCTAATGATCCCATCGATAAAAAAGCAAAAGTGATTTAGATGCATAGGAGACAAATGCCGATGCCGGATGTGAACCGCAATCCTTCACCACACAGTTACAGGTCAGATGTCTGGATGCCAAATCTTCACAGGGCGGCGGCGTAAAAACTCTGCGTGGAGGCTGGCAGTTTTCTCAGCAGCACACTTGTTTACAACAATTACACAAATGCCTCAAAAGCTAATATAGTAATGATTTATTGATTCAAAGCGCTACTCATCACATCATTAACAAAACGGGGAGTCGGCAGACGGCGCTGGAACAAGGAGGAGCAGCTTGACTTTCTGCCGACTCGGTGAGCGAGCACTGTCGGGTTCAGACTGCAGAGGAGGAGGAGGATGAAACTGTTTTACAAATGGAGGAGGCGTCATGATTTACAGCTTCTGTATTAGCGCTGTTTATCAACTCATCCAGCTTTTTCACCCTTGTGCATCCTTGGCACATAAATCAAGGTCAGCGCTCTTTTCCAGAGCCCTACTTCACACTGGGAGTGAAGAGATATGTTCACTGGCAACTCGACAGCTGTTATTGAGTCTAGCAGTTCACTTTCCACAGCCGTAAGGTCCGGGTTTGGTACGAAGGCCCAAACCAGAGCACGAGAGAGATCCACATAGAGATTGGAAGACTTGTTTGTTTTTATTTTGGCAACATCAAAAACACTGAAAAAATAAATGGATTTAAACACTGCGTTTGATGGATTAGGTAAATTATATTCATATGATGTCCGATGTCTCTCAGACACACACGTGCCTCCCGCCTCCGAAGATAATGGATTAAGAAGTGCTTTTTTTCTTATTTAAGTAACACCAGCGATTGTTCGACAGATGAGAGCATGTCGAGCGATCGACCAGAAGGTGTCAAAAGAAATGACAGTCTTTTAACATGCATTCCATCAAATTGTATATTTAGGATCCCTTTTAAAAACATGAAAGTCTGCCACAGTTTTCATGTCAGCCAGTAAAAATCAATGGTCGCCTGCAAGAATTTAGAGTGGTAAATTTGTCACCTTAATCTTTGTAAACAAGAAACCTGTCAGGTATAGCAACTAAGGGGGCGGGGCTTTGCAAAAAAGTAAGGAAATACGACTTAAAATCAACACCTTATCTCAGCTGTATTGTGTCTACTAGATATTGTGTCTACTAGATAATATTATGTGTCTAAAGTGCAGTCTGCCATAACAAGCCAACTGTCCAAAGTGACAACTGGCTTGTTGTGGCTGGATTGTTGTGGGCCGAGGAGGAGGAGGACGAGAAGGAGCAACAATAAAAATAGGCATATTGTTCAGAATGAGCGGTTTTTCCACTGGGGGACTGCAGCTTGTTGACACAGAGGAGAGACAATGGGACAGTTCTTCCCACTTAATCCGACCAGTGTTTCAATCTTTGTCTTTTCACCAGCGCGGTCCAACGCGAGCAGAACGGTGTCAAGGAGAGTTAAGCATGCTTCCTCCTTCTCTTGTGAAGAGGTGGCCTCGGGGCCTTGTTCCATACGGGGGGGGGGGGGAACCAGCAGCCTTGGGATTGGCAAGTCTCTGTTTGGCAAGCCGCCGCTGCTGTTGAGCAATGTGAGGGGGGGTAGAAATGTGTTCAATAGGCAGAGGCCACAGGAGGAGAAACCGCCTGCAGTGACCTTTGGAGAGCTGGGACTAAATACATTGACTTGCAGCAGTAGGGATGCAGAGAGCCTGGGCTTTAACAAGCAGAGCAGGGGCCGCTGGCATAAGTGAGTTGTAGATGGGCAGGAAGCCAGCAGACGTGACACTCTCTCCATTAAAACCTCATCCTTTATCCCCGGCCCAGATCGGGAAAATAGGGAGCAGAGCGGCACCTCGGTGGATTTGTGAGTTTGCGCTGCGCGTGTCAATGAAACCGTTTTCGATGCGAAAGGAAGTCCAGCGTCCTCGCTATACGGACATAAGAAAAGCAAAGGGAGAATTTGAAAAAGCAAACCAGCACCTTTCAAGCCGGGTGACGTGCACCAATGGATGCCACTCAGCTGCACCGTGTGACTGTGCTCTCTGCTGGTAATAGGTACTTAACAAAGTGACCTGCTGGGGTATTGACCTGCCAATCACGGCGCTTCAGCTGGGGGACAGGCCACTATTAAGCAACATCAAAAGAACAGCTGGAGGCTCTGAACCCCCCCAACCCCCACACTTCTTAAAGATGCACGTGCGAGTCCTGCAACTGTATGCTGGCATCAACTCACCAGGTAAAAGCAGCTTTGGATTTTAAGGCCTCCACGTATGAATTCTCACCGAAGTTGCTTTTAATGATTCATTTTTAAAAGAAGTCATTATGCAGTCTAAATTCATGTTCATCCCGCTGGCTGGATTTCTGACTAATGAGCAGCGCAATTTGGAAGTTTTGCTCCACTTCAGCACTCAAACTAATTGTGAAGACGTCCCATGGCACCTCGAAGATTTTCTCTCGTCATGAATTACTGTACATACAACAGACCTACCTTTCTAGCTTTTAGTCAGTCCCGTTGCGTGGAAACTGCTGTAATAACAATTAAAAAAATAATGTATATAAATGGACAACACTACACATTTGATGTTCTGTAAAGAGCTGCCGTGATTTAAAACAGCCTGTTAACCCATCAAAAAGTGGCTGCTGCTGCTGCTGGAAAATTTAGGAGACAATTTATGGAAATCTTACTCGCTGGTCGGCAAGTTTCATGAGACGGACGCGCATTAAATCAGGTCCAGAGCATTTATCAAGCTACACACACATCTACAGCACCCTTCCACTGCAGCTACGGACCAACAGGCAGCGGAGAGGACACAGGTTCCATCAGCACCACGGCTTCCACAGCCACGCGTCCTGTGTTTAGAGACCTGACCCGCTCATCTACTTGTAAAAGCCACTCAGGAAAACACACTGTCCAAACGCCAACAATGTAAATGACGTGTTTGCTCGCAGCCAGAGCAGCAGGTAGGACTCGATCTCCGTTACTGACAGAAAACTCATCCTCGGGCCGCCCAACACATCATTTAACCCTCTCTACTTCCTCGCGTTGCTCTTGAAAAAAAACTCATTACTTTGCCAAACACTTCTTCGTTAAAAGCAATTTTTTTTGGTCAAAGTAATATCGCAAGAGCACCTCTTGACCTCTTTACTAGCGGTTGTTTCTATCTACAAACTGGCACTGTCGTTATTAGTCGCTCTGGATGGTGTTTTTTAAAGAGCTGCAATTACAGAGCGACTACTTAACCCCTATGACCTATCTTACTGGGAACGGCGGTGATAAGTGCTGAAGGCCTGATGTCTAATGAGGCCCGGCCGCCCGCCCGGTTCCACCGAACGCTCTGGGTATAAATCACAGATCCGGTTGTCCGGGTGGTTAATGTGTGTGAGCCACTCTTGCCTACACACACACACACACACACACACACACACACACACACACACAAACGGGTGCGCAGATTTTTTACTGTGGGACCATTTAAGCAGCAAAGCTAACTGCAGTTATAAACTTGACGGAGGAAAATGAACTTTGCGCCTCGGTCGCTCAGCTCTGCTCTGTTTACATTGTACAGACTGTAATTGTTATTTTCACTCATGAATGATGCATTATTTCACCCACCGGCAACACATTTGCTATTAATCAGGGTGTTCAATTTGTATGACCCCGACCCGCCTGATCTACAGATTAACCGCAGCGCCCCCGCGGATGTAACTGCAATCAGTGCATGTCCGATACGCACAAATGACTTATAAACAGTCATCATAAGGAAAAGGACTGTTGCACCCTATAATGGTATATTTCCTGCAAATGTAATTAAATTTGCACCAACCTGATCCCAGCCCAACCTATAATAATGTAAATGTCCTGACTGATATTAACATTTATTAACCCATACCCATGCTGATTGGTCACTGTGCAACAAGTGGATCGTACTTGACCCAGCAAAACATCACTGGTGGTGATTCATGTGAGCATTGTCTAGTGTGCAGACTCTATTGTTTCACTTCACTTAAACGCTGCAGGAGATGGCTGACTCTACTCCAGCGAGCGATGAAGGCAAAACAGTTGATTCAACAGCCATTGAATGTTCTTTTTCATCTGGTGATTCCTATTAGATAAAGTGTCCTTTTTGCCTCGTCTGATCTTATGGAATTTCTGCAATTACAAATGACTTGAAAGGAAGAAAAAAGCACTTTGGTAAGCATTAAACATTTGCATTACATTTATGATTTTGAAAAACAAATGGCGCGCCTGATCGAGGACATTTTATGACATTATTGGTCGAGTTATTACATTATTGGGTTACATTTTGGATCAGGTTAAGAGCAAATTTGATTTAAAAAATATTCAGGACATTATTACATTATTGGGTGCTACAAGGAACACAAGAAATTGCCCGAGGCCTTGGTTTATTACTGGAAATAAAACAAGTAGCTTGTTCTGTCCAACTGAACAGGAAATCAGGCATCTTGGGGATTTATTCACAATTTAGGGACAGAGGTATCATGAGATTGACCGCTTGTTGGGGGCAGCGGGTATTAATATTTCAGTTTATCAGTTGACCCTCACCTAGAGTAACAAGACGGGGGAACTCAATCTGCTAAAACATGCTTTCATCCTAGATCCAGGTAAGTGCTGGACTGACAAACGCTAGATGGTAAATCAAAAAAGGTTAGAAACAGAACAAAAAGAACTTTCATATGACCTTTCACGTCTTTGGAAGACATGCCAAAGCCTCTGGTTCCTGGACAAAAGAAACTTCAGAGTACAACATGTTCTTTTACCCTCACAGAGAGAGTCTGCATAATCAGAACATTTAAATTCTCAATTAACAAGAACATCCAGCAATCAAGAGGTCACGCGTCCCCTTTGGCGGAAAGCTCTTAGCTGTAATTACCTGCTCACCTATTGATTTGGACAAATGGCACACGTCCAGCTTAACTAGGCCTCAATATGTCCTTTTCAGAGTAATTATTTAAGAGGATAAGTTCCTGTTCTTAGATCGAAACTGTGATGACTGCTATATTTAATCCAACATCTGAGCCGAGTCAAACGCTGGCGTAGCTTTAGTTTGGTGGGTAAGAAAATCACATGAATGGGTGGTGCAACACACTGACACTTTGAGAGTTGGAAAAATAGAGAACTGGAACCACCAAAAAAAAAAAAAGTGCTTTGGATAAAAAGATCAGCAGTCTTGTTTTTAGTCACTTCCTAATACATTATCTTGTTCTATTTTTGTAATGTCAACAGTCGACCAAGTGGTTCCCATTTCATTCAACTGATAACATGTAAAAGATGATGACACATCACACAACAGTCAGCAAACAATACATTTAATAGCCAGTTGATTTGCATGCAGTCTGATGCCATGTTCTCCGTTATCTGGCCCTTGTTTTCAGTTATTCCAGTTAGTTAGACCTGTTCTCGGGTAGGCGGAGCTAATCCAGGAATTACACGAGGTCATCTACCTCCGTAATAAAGCACTAATAAGGATGATAAAGGCGTAACTCGTAGCGCCCCAACAGGTGCTATAAACGAACCTTGAGGAGCACACCTACAGCACACGGTCCTGAGAAGAGGTCCGGTGGAGCTGTGTGGAAACAGCTGTGTGGAAACAGCTGTATGAGCGGACTGACGGTGTGTTGAGGCATTCAGAGACAAAAAGAAATGGCTTCTACGTCAGTTCTAGTGGGAATAGTAGAGATGAACCGATCTATCGGCTGCCGATCGAAAACCAGGTCAGTCTCATATTTCCGTGTTTGGTGCGAAAGTGAAGAGGACATAAACTTCGCAAAGTCTAAAATAAACCGTGGAGGAAAAACCTTAAAACATTTGGAACAACCAACTTATTCACTTTTTCTATTATGATTCATTCCCATGCATGCTGCTCAGAGTAATTGCAGGGATCTAGCTACTCGTCTGCATGGAGCAGCTAAACAGCTAACGTTAACGGAGGCTGCACTGATTATGATGCGTTCAAGCTCCACTCAGCAAAAATGAGTATTGAGCAATGGTGGGTTATAATGCCATCATGATGTGTTCAAACGTAATCTTGGAAAAGTTTAAAGGTTTTTGGTGAGAAAGCAATATATAATTGATAGTAAAGAGGGAATTATGACATGCCTAACACTAGCTATTAGCAGCTTATAGAATGGAATTAAAACTATTAATGCCGAATTCTTTTTTTTTATCAAAGCAAATATTTAAATATAAAAAATATAAATGTATTTCCTAAACATTTGAATCATGTGTTTTTATGCAAACAACAAAGTAAAAGGATAACATTTTGAATTTTAGAGTTTTTTTACACTCAATAAAAAGTTAATCTGGAGCCTTGGTGTCAATTATAGTACAAAATCGGAATCTGTGGGACGACGGAATCGGCCGTGAAAATTGCAATGGGTGCATCTCTAATGAACAGAGATACTTACATAGAGTGGAGCTTGCTGTGGGTTGAGTTTCATGTCCCTGGACACTGTAAAGACAAGAAGAAATCACAGGTTACAGCTTTGCTAATATACTGTACACACAAACAAGGTGACGTGTTGGGGAATTGCAACAAGCTGTCATATAAAAATGTAATAAAGCTGATGAGGGTGAGATGCTCATGTAGCAGCAGACATGGAGCAACATTCATTTGGAGTCGTGTTTCGGGCATCCTTACAAGCACTGGGTCCAATACTCTCTCTCCTTCTTGCTGCGCCATATGTGAAATATATGAGCCAGTATTGTGTTTAGCTGGAATAAAAACCCTGCAAACAAATTGCCCTAGATAACACACAACACTTGACCCCAGGGGTCTTTTTTTTGGGGGGGCGGGGGGTTGCATGTATATCAGCTCTAGCAGCGTCAGAACTTTGTTGCAGACAAGGAGACGGTTAAGCTCGACTCTGGCAGTCCTCCCAACACTCAGTAGGAAGTTAATAGTGCATGAGTACTGAAAGGACACACACTGAATCACACGTGGGAACACACACACACACACTCATCATCCAACCAAAACTGCCAAGCCTCTATTTGTGCTTGTTTATTCAAACACAGGCTGCAGCAATGGTGACAAACTGTTTGTGCGCTCCTGCCTCCTCTGATCACCCGTAAGTTATTCCGCAAGCAAACAAAATTTTAAAAAAAAAGGAGGTTTCGGGCACGAAAACACACTACTCTACCTCCTCTACATGGGTTAATGCCGGGGAAGATCAGTTAGCAGGATTTACCGGCTGACGTTCACGTTTGATTCCCTACTTCCCGTCTGGGACGCAGGCCTCAAAGCCGTTTTCTGGGCACAAGGTCAGAAGCAGTGGGTGTGTAATTACATCCCAAAAAAACAACATATTACAGCTATTGACTTGAGGACAAATGGTTTGGAAACCTCTCTCGAAGAGACATCGGCCTGTTTGCATTCATCAAACGGGTCGAGGGACCGGTTCGGCTTTTCGAGAGAACCGTGTTCTCCTCAGTTATTCGGAGAGACAATTCTCTTTTGTCCACCGTTTCTTGGCAGTAAATCGAGTCCTTGCTGCCGGCCTCAGTGGTCAGCGGCAGTGCATTAATCACACGAACCCCGCGGCGGGGGGAGGCGCTGACAAAAGGCCAGGACCTAATGAGTTCAGCAGGAGAAAAATAAAAAACACAGCGCTGAGGAGCGGCGAGGCCAATTCACTTTTCCCTGCCATCCGATCCAAAACATTTTTTTCTTCCTTTCTGGTAAATAAACAGGCTCGCGCTGGTATTAGGCGCATCAGGTAAGGGGATAATCAGCGGCTCTAATAATACTCTGGAGTCTAATCCTCTTGCCTTAAGTGCAGTGAGCCAGGGAATAGCTTATTCACCACATGCATGACTTCGACTGATAAGACTCTCGCATTATGTCCCCAACGGGCTCACCGGCTCTTTTGTATTTGCATAATTTTGGACATCTGTCGGCGCTCTCTTTTTTTGAACCACTCCACAGGTCTTACACGAGGGTGCTTCCACTGTTAGCAGACATTTTCATTTTACGTGACATCTTATTACACAATAAGGAACATATTTGCCAGGAAGTAGGCGTGTTGCGTCACACTGCTGAGGACAGAGTTGATAACTTCTATTGATCCAGGGGAAGGTTTTCCCCCCGTCACCTCGTTCAGCTCAGTCTGCCACCGCACCGTTGTTGTTTTGTTTACGTATATCTATTAGAAATTATCACATTTACAGTTTCAGCTTCATCGATCACACAATAAAAAAAATTATCCACACAAAGGAAGCTATGCTGCATCATCACAGGGTGTAAATTTCTCCACTGCTTGCTTTGGATTCATGGAGGGGCCTGTGAGCGACATTACCACATACATCCAAAACGTCCCCTTTAGTGTAGCTGTCAAGCTAAGCTAGTTAGCCAGTATGAAGTAGTAGGCTGTGGCTCTGTGTAATCAAGCTACCATATGGTTGGAAGGGTCCCGTTGTGCTTTTAGTTAAGTTCTGCAGGGAAATACTAATGCTTAGTGGACAATTCACTAAATGCTTTATCTAAACAGAAAACTATTTGTGAATACATTACATTTTCTCACCACTAGGAGGTAGAGAGACTCTCAGAAACACAGCCCGTGCCATGCTAATGTGGCTAATATGCTAGTTAAGGCTAATGTGTTAGCAATTGACCACTTTGTGGGGAGTTTCTGGCCAACCTGACAAACGTTTTTTCAATATTTAGTTAACTTTAAGTATTACTTTTTATTATAACTACAACTTTTAAGCTATATGTTTTTGACTCGCTGTTTCGCTGTTTTGTGCTACACAGCTAGCGTGCTTTTGGCTCTTCTGAGCTTGTTTCAACCGTCCGCCAACTTTGAAACAATGAATTAAAGAAAAGCTACAAGTTGCATATAGGGTCATTCTTTAGTGTTCTTTGCAACAAGAGACTCCTTCACAAGATGAGGAGTCACTTGATACAATGATAACATCAAAAATATGCCTCAGTGCAGGTGTGATATCTGTTCACCAGGCTGCCTTGAATCAGTTGTCTGTGGTTGACCCCACCGTGGTACAGTTTGGTGGGTGTAATCTGGTCAAACAGTTCCTCTCTTTGGGCAGCAGCAGTCATTCAGAAAGGACATGGCGGGGGGGATTTCTAAAATAGAAGTCATTTCTGACTGAAACTCCTGGAAAGAACAGAAATGACACTGATTTCTGTGTCACAATGTCTGTGCTGCATGTGGATAATAGCTGGATTTATAGGTGAAGTTACAGTAAACACGTCAGGTAATGCACGGTTCAATGGTAAAACTGGAAAAGACATTGGAAACCAACCTTTCTACCTGTTTTTAAAACCACAAAATCCTACAAATATAGTCCTTCACAAAGCCAAAGTTGAATGAAACTAAACAGGCGTTTTTATTATCCTCAGACAATAATTGACTCAAAGTCTGCACAAAATCCCACCGTCAGACATTCTTCTTATCTGTTTTATTCAAACGAGATGGGTAAGTAACATAACCTGCGCGCTGGCCATGTAATACAGCAAAAAGAACACGTATTCCTTCTCTGGTAACAGAAGAACCTTGAGAAATGACATCCCCCTAAGCTCACCCTACGGCCACCCAACACCTGCTTATAGAGATTACACAACCCATTAACTCCACCTAAAACACTGGGGGCAGACAGCCTTCGGCTCAGCTCCTTAACAGTCTCCATTATGGCCCAAACTGCCTTTGAACCGCCGTTAAAACCGAATCCTCTTCTTTTACGGCAGGAAGGCCACAAGAGAGGCAGCCGCGTTCAAGTGCGCGGCCGTCCCAAATGAACCAATAAATCAAGAGACAAACAGCCCCTCAGTGCCGGGATAGGAGCGCTGATGCTCCGAGTCAGGCTCGTGAATGGGCCTCGTTACGGGTGCCCCGGCTATCAAAATAAGCCGTGATAGCCATGTGACTGCAGCGTGAATGAGGGGGGATGAACAGGATTAGCTTCACAACTCATTAATCTGGACTACGCCCCTCCCCAATCAACAGCTGACGATTCCCCCGACACAATGCACATGCACGCGGGGCAGACCACCACCGCAGCGTATGAGCGAATAGTCAGCACTCTTCGTCAGTGACAAGGAGGTCTCTCTCTTGGGCAGTTCTCTTCTTTCCCGTCTTCGCTGGCACATTGCTGCATATCTTTGTGTGTTACTGCCAAATGTATTTCAGTGGTAAAATGTCAAATAAGTGTATGACATGTGTATTGCATCACACACACAAAACAAACAGCTAAACAAACAGGGACATACTCAAAAATAAATGGCACTACGATAGGTGAAAACGTCCCCGGGTAACCTTTAAGATGGTGATTTTCAGCTTTGAAAATCTAAATTACATCAAAGTGTCCATTGTTCGAGTAAACTAAAGCTTTAAACAGACACACACACATCGATACATTCATGCTTGGAATCCAAAATAAATCCAAATTCATGTGTAATCAGGTGGTTTTCTTTGCCATGCCTGTACTTCTACTACGTGCTGCCCTTCTCTTTAGCGTCATCCTGTAAAGGCATGTAATCTTCTTGAACTTTTTCTAAATCCTCCAGATCAAAGAGACTCTACTATAGACGACATTAGAACATGCAAGCGAGCAGTGCATTGACGGTAAGAAGGGTAAACAGTGGGTAGGTCAGAGGTGGCTAGAGGCCCGTGACGGCGTCAACATAATCTTTTTCTCGTCAGCGCCGCTCCCTCAGAGGCGTCCTCTGTGAACATCCCAGTCCTCTTGTCCAAAGGCCACATCTCTTTAATGCACTAAAACAAACGCACGTGCTAGGTGCAGGTCGGGGTTTTTCGTTGCCATGAAGACCATTGGGTGTTTTCAAAAACACTTCGGGAAATAAAAGCCACGTGGTTTAAAAAGGTGCTAACCTAACTCCACCCTGCAACCACGATCTACGTGCCCACTTGCAGCATAGCGTTGCCCTTTAAGTCATTTACAGGGTCATTATCGCACCTGTGGCGGACTAATCTAATCAACAAAATGCAATCAATATTGGGAAATAAAGTTCATAAAGGCAACGTCCAACAATGCGTCTCATTGTACTTGTTGCACTTGCCTTGACAATGAAATTAATAATAATGCTTTTCCTCAACAGCTGGCATTGAGCCATGCATATAATGGGGATTTACAGACCAACTCCTAGTTTTAAATCTTAACATCGGCCAAAAAAAAAAAATGGAAGCCAGTAGCTCAGAATCCAGTGCAGTTACTTGAACTAGAAGAGGTCACATGGATCGTTTGAACTCGATGCACAGATCAGTGTTTTATCGCCTCAAAGCTTCACGCTGCAGTCTTTCGGGGTCAAAAACCTCCCATTGGCCATTAATTAACTTGAACAATGTCAATGTAGATAACGGATGCTAATTAATAAAAACTTCTGACCGACAGCGGACCCTCGTGCCTCACTAGCTGCCCAGCTGCAGCAAGAACCGCTGCACAAAAAACGGGTTAAATCCATTATTTATCTGCAGCTGTAGGGTATGCATATATATTTTTAAAATCAGTGAATAAATGCCAGACCTCCTCAAGACCCGAGCCAGGTTCTTGTGTCTGGCTTATCACCTGATTAAATTGAAGGGGGTTAGCCCCGAAGCCTTTTGTGACCTTTAAGGTGGACATGCTACTCTCCTTCAAGGGAAAAGCCGTTCAGCTCAGCGTTTTTAATATTTATTTTTAAATGATTAGCATTAAACTGCCAAAGTTCTTATATTGTTGGTTAATGGTTCATCATTAATACCCCTAATTGCCCCCTCTAGTCTCAGGACAACCGGCCTGGATACTTTCTCTTTTCTGCCTGTTTTTGTGTGTGTTTTTCCACAGATACACATAGATATCACCTACAAGACATCTTTGTCTAGACATAAAATCCACATGGAATAGTTTTTCAATTGTGAGCAACAACACTGGCACTGGCACTTCGACAAGCGCTGCCAGGTTTAAGGGTTCAAGGACCCGCTCAGGCGTCTTGCTCTAGCTGTAAAGGTACAGTAAGGAGCTTTGGCTATAAAAGCCTCCACCAAATGGCAGATGAAGAGTGCCAGGGAGAGCTTCCGTGCTGATTTAAGCCTGAGGAGAGTTCATTCCTAACGCCTCTTAACTTCCCTTTATTCTCTGGAAGATCTGGAAGGGCTGGAGCAAATCTATTTAAAAAAAAAATAGATTTGCTGAAGGACTGTCCGGATAAAAGTCTCATCGCAAACATGAGACACGTCTGACTCGCAACTCCAAGACTTCTAAAACTCTTGCCGACCATGTCACTCAAATTAATGAGGAATTACCTGGTACATTTCTTTTAGTAAAAGTAAATAGTTTGGAATCAAAGCCTTTCAAGGGGGGATTACGGCTCTGCGTGGCTCAGTCGGGTTTGATGTTTAACTCAGACATTTGTTTAACCTCTCATGCCTTCTCCCCCGGGTTAACCACTAGGTACTGGCCTACCACTGCGACCAAAGTGCTTCGGCCTCTGTGTTGAACCTCTTTGTGTGTTTCTTTCTATTCTTCTTTTTTTTTTTACGGTTAACTATCAGCCCCTGCTCTTCTGGGGCACGGCTAAATTAGTCAGCCCTAAGTCACCTCCTCAACAAGCACGCCACGGTAACTCGGACGCACGATGTTGACTGCCATTTAGATAGTCACGGCTGTTTGAGTTTAATCAAACCTCGCTATTGTCCCCGCGGACAGATATGAGGCCGTCGTGGTGATGTGACCTTGCCCCGCCGCACAAAAGCTGCTCTGTGCACGGGACTGCACACAAGTGCTGGCCGACAACACGAGGCCGGGGGGATGAAAGGTCTCCTCAGTGTTTGGTGACAGTTATTACCCTCTCCACTGAAACCAAATACCTGTGGGCCCAGATAGCATTATCTAATTGTGAGGCGCATCAGGGCCCGGGCCTTGATCGGCCCTCCTTCCCAGGTTGGATGCCCCCCTCCCCCCTCGGTTTCCACAGCCATCAGGCGCTCTGTAGACATCTTTTAAAAGGGTATAGTTAGACATTTTGGGAAATTTGCTTGTTCACTTTTTTTGATACCTTTGTCACATCTGAATGGTATGTTTGAAGCTACCGGCCGGCTAGCTTAGCTTAGCATAAAGACTGGGAATAGATAGCCTGGCTTTCTCCAGAGCACCTCTAAAGCTCACTTAAATGTTGAAAGTGTAAAAATGACAATTTGTAGTTTTATGGAGGATTATATGCCAAACTATTTCCTGGCCAGGACCAGTTACCAAGCAGGAAGTTAGTTGTCCAGCCAAGAAAAACTCTGTTACATTACCAACCACACAACAGGGAAATGTTGTTTTTACACTTTAGGGTTTTGGAAACAAACAAGATTTAGAGCGTTAGCAAGGCTAGCTGTTTCCCCCTACTTTCAGGATTTATGCTAAGCTAGCTAGCTGGCTGTTGGCGGTGGCTTCATACTTCATACAAACAAGCGAGTAATATCAATCTTCTTGTCAAACTCCCAGCAAGAAAGCAAATAAACCAATTGTCCAAAATGTCCAACATTTCCTTTAAGCAAATAACAGTGCTTCTGCTATATTTTAGGCTAACGTTTAAAGGGACGTCTGAAGGGTGTTGTGGTTTTCTGATGAAATGTTTGTGCTGGTAAATTCAATAAAGGACCTGAAACCTGCAGAAGGACAAAAATGCTGTTCAACTTTGCACGTTCGGTAAATGTTCAACACATTACGCAATCAACAGGGCAATTTCTGTTACTTGAATTCAGCTGCACTTGCCAATCCAATTTCTCACAGGATCGTGACGGCCGACAGCTGGGTAAGCGATGTGGATTTCAACGTATTTACAGGAGCAGACACTGGTGCAAAAATCTCTCAAAATTATCAATATGACATTTCACCGGCAACCTTCTGAACTTACTCATTTCAACCGCGGCGCGTGGAAAGACAAACTGATGTTGAAAAGACGACGAAGTGGGGGCAAAGAAAACACAGAAAGACGGGGAGCGAAAAGGAAAGTGGATGTTAGTCTCGTTGGGGACTAAATAACAGGTTTAGCCTGGAGAATTCCGAGCAAAGCAAACCTCAGCCTCACAGCAGGCCCGATCAGATTAACATCAACCCCACTGCAGTAATGGTTGCTACATCACTGCAATTAACAAACCAGTCAACAAAGTATGTACGACCCCTAAGCTTTGCCTCATAATGGCCTTTCAGTTAGTGCTGTTTTCTCACTCAAAGAAGATTCTGGGCTTAATTCTCAGCTCCAAGTTTGGTCAATCACAAACTCAAAATTGCCCGCACATATGTGTGTGTGCGTGTGTGTGTGTGTGTGTGTTTACCCCTGCGATACACTGGTGACCTTTCCAGGGTCTTTCCGACATGCTACACTCCAACCAGATGACACATTTCAACCCACTCTCTGGTTCTTTAGAAACTGTTCGAAAACAGCCAGAGAAGTGTGAAACTAAAACTGCCGCAATGGTTTTGGGAACTGGATTGTACACAGAGTTGCTCACTTCCCCCCACTGGTTCCATCGACGTAACAGGCGGCCTCTCAGCCCACAGGAACGCTCGGTTTCCCAAACAGGAAACTAATAAAAGTATGGACTTCTAACTTCTCACTGATTGTTCAAGAACATCAACTTAAGTATTGTATCAAACCGCAAAAACGTTGGATAGAAGATCCTGTCTTATTACTTAAGCACTACTGACACATGCTTCATGTATTTTTTAAAGGGGCACTCCACTGATTCTACACGTGTAGATTGGTTTTCTCGTCATTTTACATTTTGACAAAATTTGACAATATTTTAAAAAGGCCAACATTCAGTTTCTAAATTCAGGTCCATATATTTTAGACAAAGCAAACCTGTTACATGCGACCAATGACGGCCTTTGAATGCACCATGTGACCACAAATTAGGTTAAGGTGGAGAAGCAAACAAGCAAAAAAAAAACAGGCTCATATCTTTTGTGTTAAACTGAACGAAAACACAATATTTTTGTTATTGAAATGATTTCAACTTTATATGAGTGAAGCCTCCATATTCCATCCTTACAGAAATACATCAGGGATTTTATAATAACATACAATTCATGCTGAATTCATAGTTTTAGCAAACGAGGAAATGTGTGCGCAGAAATAAAAATGTCCCATGAGCAGAGGCCCAATCACAACTGAATGTAACGGCGGTCACACATGTCGTTATCAAAACCATTAAGTGGTATCACGAGGCAGACGTTTCTAGGCCCTGTGCGTGAATCATAGTCAAACTTTGCCCTGGGGAGTATATCGATGTGTCACTTCCTCTATTATAATGCTTTTGTTTAAATGACCACACACACCTACAACACACCGCCTGCTGAACTGTCACCTCAAACTACAGAGTAACTTTTTTTTTTAAAAGTGAAACCTTACCCTCGGCCTGTTTGATGACGACGGCTGCGAGCAGACTCCTTCAGGTGCACATTAAAGTCATGGGAAGTCCACCGGGGAGAGCAGGTGTGTTTATACTAGGCAGGCATCCCTGAGTAGCGGACATGCGAGCTCTCGCCGGACTGATTACACCGAGCTAAATATGGCTTTGTGCTAACACAGACAGTAGGCAGATCAAAGCGCTGATGTCAGACAGGAGAGGCGGAGCCTGCGGGCCACAGGTCAGGTGGCACTGGTGGGACTACAGCTATCCTGCCTCTGCTTTCTGCACATTAAAGTGTTGTGGTTCTCTCCGCTCTCTTTATCTATCAAACAGACAAAATAATCCGCTGTAATGAGAGCCACGAAAACACACAGAGAGGAGGTCTCGTGGATGACGACGGTGTCCATGAAACAGCCGCTCAACCTCAACCATTTATTATAGGGAGATGTGTTAAATATAGTTTTTTTCTGAAATAGCGCCAGAGCACTTGTTACTGTTTTCTAATGTTTTACAGACTATCAATCTATGAATTAATTGAGAAAATAATATGTAGATTCATTGATTTCCATAAATAATCATTAGTTGCATAGTTTCATGTTGCAACTGGTGGAGCAGGTGGAGCTAATTTGAACAGCTTTTGTTTAAAGTTGGTATCTTAATCTGTCACATCGGATCATATTCTATAAAATGATTATACATCTTGCATGTGTGATGTCAATCTGCAAAGTAACTAATAACGATAGCTGCTGTATGAATCTGGCAGAGTGAAAACATACCTCAGAAATCTAGCGGAGTAGTATTAAAGTATATAGAAGTATAAAGTAGTATGAAATGAAAACACTTAAGTTAAGTACAAGTGCCTCACAACTGTACTTAAGAAGAGTACCTGTTAATGTGCCTGAATACTTTTACACCAGTACAACTGACTTTTTATTCGGTTGTCCTCCTGTCATCTCTTCACTTATTACCATCAATAAAGACATTAAATGCCCTAAAAAAAAAAAAAAAAAGTGCTTTAACCCGGGCAGAATATGTTTCTCAGCAGCAGAGAGGAGTCTCTGTGTTTGGCGTAAGTCTTCCAACAAGGATCACACTTCAGCCCACGACGGAGTCCATTCACAGGTAATCATCTCCTGTATGCATTACTGAAATCTGACTGCAGTGCGTACACAGGAGAAGAGTTTCTTCCAGATATCTTTGAACCAAACAGTGAATACACCAGCTGGTTTAGACTCCATCCAACCTGACAATCTGTTGTTTTTTTTTGCAAGTATGTATCTATTTGCATCACTGCATTGTCATGTCTTCCTTTTGTTTTTTGTTTGCTTCCTGGTGGATCGGCACACTTATGGTTTATTTCCGTCCGCATGGAGACTTCTAGCATCCACACATTGTCATTAATGCAAGTCTGACCACTTCTGGAGGACTTCTTTTTTTCCCATTATCAGACCTGAGTGAGATGACACTTTATGCATATTTACAAGACCCAATCTGATCAACCAGAACGTAGATGTAAACAATAATGTGTAAAGGTGAATGTACAGCACAGCAGTGCTATGATCCACTCCTGTACGATTGGTAACAGGACGGTCTCTCAAATCACCGTCCTGCCTTCCCTGCTGCACATTTTCATACAAGAGACACGCTTTATTTTAAGACAAACTTCTGGCCGGCAAAGTTGACAAATGCTTTTAGTTCTTAGAAAGATGTGGAACCACCACAGGCACAGTAGCAATTAACAACAAAGTCTGCCTGATAAGTCCACCCCGGGGGCACAAACTGTGTACGAGCTGCAGAGGTGGCTCCTGTTTGGGAACGAGTGCGGCTGCCGTTCGGCGTGCTGAGAGGATTCCAGTGATCCCAGTCGTAACAATAACAAAAAAGGCGAGTCAAGGCCTCATTGTGGATCTCAGCGGGGGAATTCAGCCCGCCTCGCCACCTCGTACCTGTAAGACTTCCTTCCATTCTATAGTAAATATGGTGTAATTACAAGGCTGACACCGTGCATATCCTCCATCATCATTAACTTAGGGGCTTTGTGAGGATGAGAAATTGGCTGGGTTCAGCTTGGAGCCGGCAGAATCCTCCTGGTAATTTATGGTGCTCTCAATGGGAAGGCCAACTCCTCTTTCATGCGTCTGTTGTGCTGGAGCTGAATACTTACCCCTGACTGGAGACGGCCTCAGAACTGAGCCTAAAAGTTTGCCGTCAGCGACACGTAAGAGGCTAAACTAATACGTTTCTTTGTTTAGCAGGAACCGTTGTGTAGTCTTCCGCTGATAGCCTTGTGAGGAAAAATGCAAACTCAACTGTAGCCTCGTCTGCTGCTTCCTGATGCTTGCAATCAGTGGAATGTGTCGATATCTCATTATGGGGTTTACATTCTTCCTTTTGTATTTCTTTGCATATAAAGATCGTCATTACTGTCTTACATTTCCACTGATTAAAAACAGCACGGCGGTCCTGATATTCAGGACATTTAAGACTATATGGATTGCTTTAAGAAGACAGCAGCATTTGCTATAACTTCATATTCAGCATCTTAAAATGAAAACCCTCCACACGTCCCTTTAAATCATTGTACTGCAAAAAAACCACATGAGCTAATAATGTTGAGACTTTTGTTCATTTGAACAGCTGAGAAACCTACATACACTTGATAAATGCCGTAACACACGCCCAGATTACGCAAACACACATATTAGAATGGTTGTAAAAGAGCTGAGTCAAATGTGGTAAAAGGAAGGTTTATGAACCGAATGGTTGGTGGTTAAAATCCAAGCACTCACTGGATGCTCTTCCCTCTACAACATGCTAATGAGCAAGGCACAAAAAAAGCCAACAATCTCCCAGCGGAGCCACCGGTAGAACACTGGTAACGCCCGATTCCCAGTGTGTCACTGTAAAGCTGGAGCAAATTCCCTTTAATGCATAAAAGTTACAAAATGAGCAAAGTGACTACTTGGCCAACATTCAAAAGGCAGACGCTCCCATTTACAGGCCAGTCCCACCGTGGAAAGCCTCCACATGGAGACACAAGAAGAGGCAGATGACTCGACCGCCCGCTTGACTACAGAGGGAGCGATAAAATACCTCAACACTGAGTGTAAAGAGCCTCCGCAATGGCAGCAAGAGGAACAGATTCTCAAAATATCCGAGAGGTCAAAACCAGTGACGACGAGGGTCAATGCTGGAGGAGGGACCGACAACTGTGTCCGGCCATTGTAATTCATGCTCTCGGGCAGAAAGTGAAGGCACATTTTATTGAGGTGGTTCGCTATAGCTGGAGTAGAATAACAAGGTCCAAGTACATCCAGGAAGTGAAGAAGATGCGTTTCCCCCAATGGGTGTGTTACCACATGGGAGACCAGAGGGGCGGCCATGTTTGCGCGCCCAGTCCTGTTGAATGCTTTGAAGTGGGTGAGGTCAAGCAAGTGCAAATTAATTTTTCTTCTTTACGTGAGTGCAGACCCCTCCCACTAACGTAAAACACAGGGCTTGTGCAACTGACCTTTCTCGAGGAGTAAAATAGTCCCAGATGAGGTGTGTCTGTGCTGTCACACTGTGACTTTATGATGATCTTATTGTGCTTGAGGGAATGTTTATTGCAGATGTGATCATTACAATGTGGGCAGTTAAAGCTGGGCATTTTAGTCAGTATTTATCATTTGTCCAGTTATATAAAGCGACGTTATGCCATTCTGGAGCTGTGTCATTTGGTACTGATTAATCATGCAAAGCAAGGCAAATTTCTCTAATTTGTCCGTTACGTTTCCAGTTTGACTTCATCACCACACAGTGACTCAACGTCACGTGTGACTTTTCCAAACATAATATGAATATTTGGTCTTTAATTCGTACTTCAATTCGTTTTCCATATATTCACACTATTTCTTTTCATATCGTATTTCATCATGCCAAGTGCTTTTTTATAGGCATCTTAAATATTCCTTAATGGCCTTAAAGTCTTTGGTGCTAACGAGGGGAGTTTGTAGTAACGTTAGCTTACTTCACTTTTAACTGCTGTAGTTTGAATATTTCGTAGCCTACACTGTACTTTCGCCGCTTTTGTGTAACGTTAGTATCATTTTACACTTCTGTGGGACAGCCGGGTTCGTCCTCGTTGTCGCCGAGTTCACAGAAACGTGAGAAGTTCCCCCATTGAACCCCTCCGGGGCTCTGAATTACGATGTCATGGCTACCAAGCAACACGTTTAAAAAAACAAACAGCAGCCATTAAACCACTTCGCCGAAGAAAGATACAAAGTAACGCCAGAGTCACATTCACATCAGTCACACAGTTACCGACAGGCTCCTCTTACCTCGAGCAGATGAGGCTCAGCGTGAAGAAGAAGCCGAAGAAGCGGCTTTCGGACGCATAATATTCCTCCTGGACGGACTCGCAGTGTTTGGAGCTGGGCCCAATTTATCCTGTTAAAAAGTGTTGTACCGTGGGTTAAAATGGATGAGCGGCGGTGCGGGTCTCCCACCAAAGTGTCCCCGTCCAGAAACAGGAGGCTTGAGTGCACTTTCTAACAGTTGTTAGTGTTTCCCAGGACAACTCGGTGGGAGGAGTCTGCACGAGGGGCTGTTATAAGCCCTATTTGCATTGGGTTTCTTCGAGGAGTTCAGACTACAGGAAGTACATTTTCAGCCGCGAGGGAGGCCAAATGTATGGAAGCCCATTTCTACAGGCAAAAAAAAAAAAAAAAAGATAGCAAGTCGAAATTGTGAGATAAAGTCATAGTTATGAGATAAAAAGTCATAATTATGAGATATAAAGTCAAAATTATGAGCTAAAAAGTCATATTTATGAGATAGAAAGTCGAAATTATGAGATGGAGAGTCAAAATTATGAGATAGAAAGTCATAATTATGAGATAGAAAGTCATAATTATGAGATAGAAAGTAGAAATTATAATATACTTAAACACAACAGTCATAGAAGAAGCTCTTTGGAATAGGTTACCCTACATTTGACATAGAAATGGATTGTGAGTACATTTAAGACTACTTTAAACGTGGCTTTACAACAGATGAAATACTTCAATTGCTTGCTGATTCACATGGGATTGTACTAACACACCCTTGAAAGGATTTCAAGCAAGAAGCAGCTCTGGTGTAGAAAGAATAAAAGCGATGTGGCTGAGGTGGCGACCTTCATTGAACAGCAACTGGAAACATCTGGTCAGTGTCATGGTTACAGATGGATGCACCAAAAGTGTTGGTTACACTGAATTGTGCCTGACAGAGAAACAGTTTGAATATTACTGCAGTTATTGGACGGTGAAGGTGTTGATCTGAGGTCAAGAAGCAGACTGAGAAGGCGTTTACCACAGATATGGTCCAAACTATGTCTAACTATGTGTAACCTTTGGTCCAAGCACTGGAAACCAGCGGATTGAGCGATGGTGGCTGATCATGCAAAGTGAGTGTGTTCAGTTTTAGATGGACCTATTTGACAAACTGAGAGACGATGGCTACTTCTCAGACAACTTCTTTGACAAGTCCTTGATCCAGTTTTGCTTTCTTCAAACAATATAGATAATTGACACATGCACATACAGGTGATTGCACAATATTATTCTTAAGAGCCACAAATGAAAATGTGACAGTCATTGCCTATGTTCTGTGCAGAAAATTGTGTAATAAATGGCATGACATAATGATGTAAAATACTTTTTTAATTTTTCGGTTCTTCAAAGACATTTTAATAGCTGTGAAATATTATTGTAACATATATTGCACAGCAGCAAATTACATTTTGCAGGTATTAATATTACTGTATTGTGCCATCCCACCATACAACCAGGAGACAACTCCAGAATAAAACAAACCATTTTTGTAAATATAGCCAGTGCAGGGAATGTAATCACATTGGGGCCCATAGGGTAGGGGAAGCCCATAGAAAGAGCAGGCCTCATATGGGCTGGGGTACACAGTGCTCTTCCAAGTGATACAGAGAACCACCTCTTAATTTACTTTAAAAAAATTTTTGAGTACCTATGGTAGCATCTGCTATTATATTCCTTGGAAAAGGCACACCTGTCTCTGTCATGGCATTTTTGTCAAATACTGATATGCAATGATGATTGCTGAGTTTTATGTATGTGTAGTGACCCCGTTGCTTAGCAAAAAAAGGCCACCACGGTTGCTTATTGCTTGTTTAGACGCGTGCCCTAAATAACGAAGTCCAGTTTCCAACATGCATTTTATTTCTCACATAAACAAAGGACAACCACTTTCTCTGTCAAAAACCATTTCCTCAACATCAAGACATTTTAACATTTACATTTATTAAATATCGCATGGTCAAAAACTGTTTGCTCTTGTCTACTCAGCAACACCTCTATCAAGTGACCCTCCTGATTATATTAACCTGTGGCCTAATTGACAGCGGCACTACGCCCCCAAGTGGTGGGAGGTTGTACAAAACAAAACAATGACAAAATAGCTCTTACAGCAGTGGTGGGCCGTCACCTCATGGACGATCACCTCATGGACGTCCCTCCATATTGGATGCAGTCCCTCAACTGTACAGAGGCAGAGATTGTTTGCACCATGTGGACCTGGAGAAGGTTCATGTCTGCCTTGAAGAGTGTGTGTTGAAGGACTTCCCATGCGATGAAGATGTGTTCCATATCTGTGTGGAGCTAATGTCAGAGTATAATCTGAAATTAACAAAAGATGTGTTTGAAACAGTGAACCTGTATATTGAACTCAGACATCTGATAAACAATAAACTAGATCGAGATTAATAACTTTTCTGGGCCCGTGTCACATTCATATTTCCGAAATCTTTTGTTTTGTTTCCTGTTTCATTCCAAGACAAAAATGCAAACTTGCCTTCTGATTGCAATTGTCAAAATGATAGTATATGTTATAGCCTGTAATGGATGCAAATAGAATTGTTGCTAATACACACAAAGTCATATAAATATATGTGACTGGTTCTTGTGAGTTTGTTCTTGTCATTGTGTTAATTACATTGATTCTGACTATATGCATCATTGTCCGTTAATTAAGAAGCATCCCGTCATTGCGGGGTTAGGGTCGGACATTTGCTTCTTTGTTTGGGTTGTTGTTTTCTTTAACAAAGCAAGAATGATGGTCTGGAGAAATGGCGATTGTGTGGCGATTGCGTTAGCCCTGTTTGAATCAGTAGGGAACAGCTAAACGCTGCGGGGAGAGTGTAGCTTGTGTGCTGCTGTTGTTTTCCGCTAAGCTAGTTTAGAGTCACGTGTAAAATATTTTTCTTCCGGGGTCGGAGTGTCAGACACTTGTCTGTTTTGTCATGTGGGTTGCCAGTTTGAGCAAAGTTCACAGAAAACATTATATTTCCCACAATTTAAGCTTCTGCATTTTCCAAACGCACTGGTATTATTCAAACGTATTGTTCGGTTTGTAAGCCTCGTACCGAATGGTTTAATATGAATACGTGTAGTTACACCCCTAGAAACAAATAATAACCGTAGCTGTGGCGTAATAATGAGATTATTTGGAGAAATATTTTCATAATCTGCACGAGCTCTTTGCCTAATTCAGTGGTCGGTAACCTGCGGCTCTTCGGCCCCTCTGTTGCTGCTCCTTGAGTCTACATCAGGTGTCCCCAACTGGC